TGATCATTTCGTTTAACATTTTTAGGACTAGGAAATAGTATGCTATGAATGTATGAAAGATAACAAATTGTCATTTGAATTGTTAAAAAGATTTGCTATGATTTACCTGAGACACGGAATGCATTTGTTTGCTACACTCGTTGCTTCATTATGACATATTTTGTTAACTACAGTTTAAATACAAACAAAAAAAAAGAAAAAAGAAAAAAAAAAAACAGCAATACAACGCAACATATTTGCTATCACATAATGCAAGAAAAATCGAGCGTGTTATCAACTGAAAACATATATTAATTAAAAGATTAGCAAGTGACCACTGTATAGTACTTAAGTGTTTACAGAATAAAATGGACTACATAAGTGTTGGGTGGTCTAACTTGTGGATAATGTTATCGTTGTTTATTTATTCTCTAATCATCGACTGTCTAATAAAAGGTATACATGCACCGTAACCTTAAGATATTTCTATTAAAGTATGATGGAATGTTTAACTGATGATAGCAAAACAAAGTTTGGGAGAAATTCAATATCTATTATTTATTTCACAGCAGACTGGTTTTAATATTAAATGATCTGCATAAGTGAAGCTATCAAATAAGAAACTGATTCTTCCAAAAAAAAAAAAAATATATATTTTTTGTGATTATACAAAATACGATTTAAAACTAACAACGAACGCAAGCCCACACAACCCAGCAACATCGGCAAGGAGCCCAGCAGGACACCAAAAGTAAAAAGGGACAGGGCACAAGCAAACCCCGGACGGGGACTAGTCAGGCAAAACAAAAATTTCATGGATACCATGTACAAATATCTTCATTTTACGAATAATCTACGAGCAAGACTCTTTAGATATGTATACTGAAATATATTAACTAAAATGATTGTCCGCATGATTGCAGAAATGCGTTTTGCACTAGGACATGCTCTGCAGATCTGCTGCATCATCAGTTCAAACCAAGCATCACTGCGTAAGTTAGGACGCAATTTCAAAACATTGAATCCGGGTTTATATTCTGGAGGCCACGTTATCTAAATTTCATCTTACTTTAAATTGATATTTATGACATTCAAAACAGGTAGTAAACGTGCCAGGTAACATTAAATCTCACAAACATTAAAGTAAAGTAAACAATGAAAATTGTCTAGGTATTGCATGGGTAATATATTCATGTGTAAACGATCTTTTAAACAGTTAAGCCGGATTTACAATTTACCGTATTGGGCTTTCTTGATAGTATATTCTTGTTTGTTTGTTCGTTTGTTTATTTGTCTTTTGTTATTTTGTTTGTTTTTGTCTTTTTTAGCTCACCTAAGCATATGATCAGGGTAAGCTATTAGGATCACTTTTCGTCCGTCGTCCGTTGTCCGTTCACTCTTTTAAAACGACATCTCCTCTGAAACAATGAGGCAGATCATAATGAAACTTCACAGGGATGTTCCTTGTGTTAAGCCTTAACAAAGTTGTTCAAAGAATTCCATTCCATGCAGAACTCTGGTTGCCATGGCAACCAAAAGAAAAAAAAAACTTTAAATATCTTCTTCTTTCTAAAAAACCCAAAGAGCTAGAGCTTAGATATTTCGCATGAAACATCTTCTAGTGAGTGTCTACCAAGTTTCTTCAAATAAAGGCCCTGGGGTCAAAATTGGCCCCGCCCCAGGGGGTCATTGACTTTCCCTATATGCATATAGTAAAAATTTAAAATAAAATTTCTTTTAAAGAATTCAAAGAGCTAGAGCTAAGATATTTAGCATGAAACATCTTCAAATGGGTGTCTACCAAGTTTGTTTAAATAAAAGCCCTGGGGTCAAAATTGGCCCGCCCCAGGGTGTCATTGATTTTACCTATATGCATATAGTAAAAATTTAAAATAAAATTTCTTTTAAAGAATCCAAAGAGCTAGAGCTAAGATATTTAGCATGAAACATTTTCTAATGGATGTCTACCAAGTTCGTTCAAATAAGAACCCTGGGGTCAAAATTGGCCCCGCCCCGGGGGTCATTCATTTTCCTTATATGTTTATAACAAAAACTTAAAAGATCTTTTTTGAAAAAAAAAATAGCTAGAGTTTAGATACTAAGCATGAAACATCTTCTAGTGAGTGAATTCCATGTTTGTTCAAATAAAAGCCCTGGGATCAAAATTGGCCCCGCCCCGGGGGTCATTCATTTTCCTTATATGTGTATGACAAAAACTTACAAAATCTTCTTTGAAACAACTCAAATAGCTAGAGTTTAGATATTAAGCACGAAGCATCTTCTAGTGAGTGTCTACAAAGTTTGTTCCAATAAAAGCCCTGGGTTCAAAATTGGCCCCATCCCATGGGACATTGATTTTCCTTATATGTGTATAGCAAAAACTTAAAAATCTTCTTTGAAAAAACCTGAATAGCCAGAATTCAGATATTAAGCATGAAACATTGTCAAGTAAGTGTCTACAAAGATTGTTCAAATAAAAGCCCTGGGGTCAAAACTGCCCCAGGTGTGTCATTGTTTTTAACTATATGTGTAAAGAAAAAAACTTGAAAAATCTTCTTTTAAAAAACCCAACAAGCTAGACCTTAGATGTTTAGCATGAAACATCTTTTAATGGGTGTCAACCAAGTTTGTTCAAATAAAAGCCCTGGGGTTTAAACTGGCCCCGCTCCGGGGTCCTATATACAGGTGAGCGACTTAAGGGCCATCATGGCCCTCTTGTTTTTTTGCTATTTCATTATTTCAGTCATAAAAAAACTAATTTTATATAGTTCTGTGATGATATTGCTTATAATACAAATTAATACAAATTAATATGAAGAACAAAGTCAATAAGGGAGGGCAACATTTAAAGAACACAGGACTACCGTCAAGGAACTCAGCAGGTCACAAGACAGGACATGGCACACGGCATAATGTTAGAATTCATATTGTTGGGTACAGTATTTCAGTGTTTTTCTCCTTTTATACTAGGGGTGTCACGGTAAAAAAAAATGCTAACTGTAATAACCATGTTGAACGTTTAACCGACCGTACTTATTACATCCTTAGATTTTCAACATTAACATTGTTTCTCTATGACAAGATATGTCATTTTCTTCATATTTTGTTGCACTCAAAATGATTACCATACATATCCAAAAATAAAAAACAAATATTTTCCGCTAGGGTCGCAACGTTTTCGATTAGATCGGAAAAAATGCAATGCTGAGTACAACTTAAATACAAACAATTGCCATGTATTGTCATTAAAAACTAAGGTAATATTTAAAATCAATTTAAAACGTTTTCGCCCCTTAGTTAAATACTAGCCTCGGTTACCGGTTATGAAATTTCCTATACGGCTTTAAGCTAAAAAATACCGAGTAAACGTGACACCTCTAGTTTATACATATATGATAATTATATTAATCTGAATACAATATACGTTGTAACATTTTGCACATACTTATATCTTGAGACATTAAATGGATTTTGAAGGAAGTACGGGGTGTTCTTTATTATAAAACACAGGACCATCAATAAAGGGCGGCGTTCAATGAACACTGTCCCTCTCCCACCCACACACACGCGTGCGCGCATGATATAGCAGCACGCACCACCAACAGGGCATCAAACAAAAACAAAACCGCACAACTCATACTAACATTTTTTTAAAAATTGATACCTGACGCAATATACCTAATTATCTAAATTCATTTCATTTTTTTATAACATACTTCAGTCGAAGTCCCTGTTTTGATTTACAGACCATATGATTGTAGATAATGGCTATATTAATGATTTTGCTGTTTTATTGAAGAGAAAAATCATCTCGGGTGCGCCCTTGCACAACTCAAACTAGCAGATGATTAAATTGACAAGTATTCGCTATTAATGCCTTATGAATTTAATGTTGATATAAATAACGTAAGTTATTTTATAATGCTAAAATACATAGGTTCGCTAAAAAGCGAAATTTTCACATGGACACACATTTTCAAGATAGTTTTATTTTTAATTTAAACTTATTTTATGATTTGCACTGATACGTTTCAAAACACAAATACGAAAACTAAGTCAAAAATTTTAATATGTAAAATGTAGCAAAACAGTTTGTAACTATAAGGATTGAAAGCATCCAACTATGACATGACTGTATACAATAACTGGTATCTAATACCGGTATAGCATACATAATAATCTAATTGAAAAATAAGACCGTTGATAAATAAGACCCAGGTAACTGGAAGTGGTTAACTTATTTATTTTATTTAAATTATGTTTTATTTATGTTATGTTTATAAGTGGTAGCAGTGGTAGTCGTAATGGTAGTAGTGGTTGTGGTAGTGGTAGTTGTGGTGGTTGTGGTGGAAGAAATGGTACTAGTGGTGGTGGTAGTGATGGTAGTGGCCGTAGTGGTCGTGGTAGTAGTGGTGGTAATGTTGGTAGTAGTGGTTGTAGTAGTAGTGGTAATAGTAGTAGTAGTAGTTGTAGAAGTTGTGGTGGTAGTAGTGGTAGTGGTATTAGTAGTAGTGGAAGTAGTAGTGGTAGTGATTGTAGTGGTGGTAGTGGTGGTGCTAATGTTGGTAGTAGTGGTCGTAGTAGTAGTGGCAGTGGTAGTAGTAGTAGTGGTAGTAGTAGTAGTGGTAGTAGAAGTGGTGGTAGTAGTGGTAGTAGTAGTGGAAGTAGAATTGGTGGTAGTAGTGGTGGTAGTGGTAGTAGAAGTGGTAAAAGTAGTAGAAGTGGTGTTGTTAGTAGTGTTGATAGAGGTAGTAGGGGTAGTAGTAGTAGTGGTAAAATTGGTATTGGTGGTGGTACTAATAAGTAGTGGTATTAATAGTGATGGTAGTGGTTAAAGTGATAGCGGTGGTAGTGGTAAAAGTTAAAGTGGTGGTAGTAGTGGTAGTGAGGTAGTAGTGGTAGTAGTAGCAGTAGTATTTAGATTTGCACGCAGAGCCACATACCCATGTTGACACTACATATAATTAATAGCATATTGCCACGGCAGCATATTGTTTGTTTTAGAGAGAAAATGAGTTAAATAATTGTAAACAAGTAATAACGTTTAGCAAATGATGTTTTGAATAGAAAATAACAAATGGTCATACTTCATAATGTTTATATGGATTTATAGAAATAATTATGTTCTATCTTACTGTCTTACAAATGCATTTATTTAAAAAATAGACCCCTGTTCACCATCATCCCCATCCCCGGGGAAAAACACAAACGTTTTATAAATCACAATTGTTATTTTTACTCCACACAATTTGCCTTGATTTGTAATTATATAAAAAAAAATGTATTAGATTTTCTTATATAACCAACAACATATCGCGTCGCATAAACACTAACTATATCAGTTTAACTTATTTTTCTAAGCGATAAAAATATTAATTGCTAACGAAAAATAAGTTTTACTTGTCGCCCATTTCTATTTTATGGAATCTGCTTAAACATGCTGCCTGGTGCCCTAGTGGCCACACAACCGATATACCTGTGCATTTTGATTTTGTCGGATGGGGCGGCTGGGGCTTGGGTGGCTGCAGTGAATGAACCTTGTATTCCCCTTCTCGTTCAATTCATGTTTGAAATGTTTTTTTTATCAATTTTCGACAATATGTTGCTTTATAAGTTCATCAGAGCCGAAGGCTCAGGGTGAGCTATAAGTATCAAAGGGGGATACTCCGGCGTCCGTCATCATGCGTCAACAATCATCTTTTTCTCTAAAACCGCTAGACAGATTTACTTCAAATTTGGTCTGTAGCATTCTTGTGACAGTCACATCTAAATTTGCTCATTTGATTCCAATTGCCCTCTTTTAGGGGTAAAAAGAGCTAAAAATAGAAAAAACCTTTAGACATCTTCTTCTACAGAACCAATTGATGGATGATCAACAAACTTTATATGTAACATTCTTATGTACTCTTTTATCAAATTTGCTCATATTAATTTGATTGGCCTCTTTTAGTGGTCTCTAGACCTAAAAATAGAAAATCCTTCAGACATCTTCTTCTACAGAACCAATTGATGGATGATTACCAAACTTTGTTTGTAGCATTCTTAGGTAGTCTTTTATCAAATTTGCTCATATTAATTTGATAGGACAATTTTAGTGGTCAAGGGAGCTTAAAATAATAACAACCCTTAGACATTTTTTCTACAGAACTTATAGATGGATGATCATCAAACTTTGTAATTAACATTCGATAATTAACTTATGACATAGTGCTTTGTTTCTAAACAGAGAACATATCTGCACATTGTTTTTCATTTGACATGCTTAAAAAAGACCCAGACCCCAAAACTCACTATGGCAAATTATATTTGTGGTACTATAATTTGTTGTGGATGCATTCTTGTTAGCTTATAATTTAGTGTTGTGTATGCAATCTTGTTTGCTAGGTAATTATAATAAAATAAAATCATCAAATAACATGCTGTAAAATTTGGACTCCTATTGATTGTATTGAAATTTGGACCAGGAATGTAATTTCTGATGCAAATTGAATTAAGAAAGTAACTGTCTACTTTTGATATTAATGATATCGTTTGACATTGTTTCTTGTTTGTTGATGTACATACTTGAAATTTGGATATTGGGTTTAATTTTTGATTCTAAATTGAATTTTTATATCCACTAGTATTACGTACGTATGACTAGATTCGTAGTTAGTGAGTAGCGAAAATTTAAATAACATAAAGTTTTACTAATGCGTAAAAGCAAATTTCTGTCTATGTTTCAGATGGGTGTTTTATAACAAACCTATTTACGATATAAATTAATGTCAGAGATGGATTTGGAAAGAGAAAATTGGCCCTGAATTGAGGAATGATACTCGCTCTCAACAGCAACATTAAACAAAAGAAAACCGTTTGTGTTTCTGTGTAGTAGTCAGCAATATATTGTTTTGTTTTCAAATTTCAAATGTTCAATTTATATTCAAATTATATAGAACCGGAGCTATAAATTTTGAGACGGCATTTAATCGTGCATTTACTGCATAAAGTGACCTACACTGTTTATAATTTTGTAAAAACATAATTCTAACTTGTTGTCATTTGTTTTAGAGATTTGACTGCATTCTTTTATAACTTTCTACTGCTATTTTCATTTAATTATGTCTTATATCCGGAACAATAACTTTGATTAATACTTGGTATTCAATTAACCAGGCTGGCTAGATGATTTCGTATGATAAAGACAATGTTTTCTAAAAAGCAGACAAAAGATATTATAATTTCTTAATAAAAGTTATAACACACCGCAATCAATGAATCAATCAATCATAAAAAGAAAATCATCTCAATCGTCATTAAATCTTTATTTTAATAGTGCAAAATAAATCTTCTTTTTTTCCATCACTTTTTTTGTAAAAGTGAGATGCTATTAAGTCAAAAACGAAACATCATTGGGAGAAAACAATGAATCTCAAACGTTGAAACTTATGGTGACGATTCCGCAATCTTGTGTGCTGAGTAGATTACTTGCAGAGGATTTTTTAATAACTTTGTTAGTTTCTTTTCTTATATCATATAGGCTTCGGTAAATTGGATCGAAAATGTTTAAAAATCGATGTACGGCTCTAAAAAAAACGTTACAAGTAGTATAGTATGGTCTGTAGCTCCCCTATTCGATGGCAAATGATGGCAAATGGCCTCAGTTGACCTTAACCTAGCTTCCCGCTGAAACAGTTCCCGCCAAAAAGCTGACCTCATTAATCTCGAAGACAGGGCAGTTACCAAATGTCATTATTTCCATCAAAATCATCAAAATTCCTGAAAGTCTGTGACAGTGTCAAAATTAGAGTCTTTATATGTCAAAAATGTCTTTATATCCTCTGGCACCAAAAATCCTGAAAGTCTGCGAGTGGCTCAGAAACAGACGCAGATCAGTAAAATTGAGGTCAAATTGTAAGAGCTTTTATAGAGACAAATTATGCTGTCGATGAACTAATTATTTCTAGCGCCATTAATAATATTGCTTCATTAATACAGTAACAATTTAATGTTTTGAACATCAGTATTGAGATGGTCAATAGCATAAGTCCATATAAATGTATTTGCTTTATAATAAATGTCCTACTCTGAATTTTAGCGGGAATATTTGTTATCTAACATGATGACTGTATTGTGTGAAAAGTATCTGAGTTATGTATATATCACTCGTAGACTGTAAATGAGTTACATATTAACTTAAAGCTCAATACATGTAATTATTGTATTGACATAGTATATTGATGCCAATATGGACAATTGATCAAACAATCGTTGTCAAACTTTAGAAATAAGAGAAAAAAATAAGAATCTATTAATATGTGACTTTAGTAAAGGTTTTCTGGTGGGTGTTTTAAGTAAAGGTCATATGGCAAACTACAAGATATTTACTGTTAAAGGAAGGTCTTCAGGTACACATCCGTGCATTATTTCAGGCTCGAACAGGGAGAAGAGTAGAACTGCCGATGTTTCGTAAGCCATTTTGATTGCTCCCGCACATGCACAAAGTTTTTTCTCTCTCTCTTTATTTTTATGTTAACATAATGTTCCATTTCAGTTTCTAAAAAAGCACTATGATTCACATTGATTTCTTAAAAAAACTATAAGCGGATTCTCTCACTGACCTATTTCGTCTTACTTGTTCAAACCTGTTGACAGCTTGGCCCATAGGGGAGGGCATCGGGCTAATAATCAGGCACCCCTGGTTTATATTCAAATGTGAAGGGTAAATTGTCCATAAAGCATTTAGTCGTATGGTCATTCGTCAGTCACTGCTGATTCAGAACCCACAAAATCACGTTGGATAAGTATTAGATCGCCTTATGCATGAAGTTTGTAGCTTCGAGACACGGGTCTATCTAATTTGTAAGAGGGAGCTTTGCCCCCGAGTATTTTTCAGATTGCCGGGCGTTTTGATGTTCTTACTCTTTTATATCATAGTCAAACATAAAATCACGTTCCCTTTTGTCACAATCTTAAACCCAAGAAAAAAAGTAACCAATGAGCGAGCATCTGAATATGACATTTCTATCGCTTTCGCTTTTTTCTGCCGTCACATTAAGTAAACTCAAGCAAAAAACATGAGCCAACCAATGAGGATGCTCTGCAGTGCGGGTAGGTAATACCGGCCCTCCAGTTAATGCACTGTGCATGTATATATATATATATACGAATAAACTCTGACATATTATCAACAGAAAGGTCCCCAAACTATGATACAAACATGCAATGTCGACGTATCGTAACTGGAGTATTCAGGTTATTTAGTTACCCAAACTCTAGTTAACGCACTAAACATATAGCATGCTCATTGATTGGCTTCTTTTTCTGGTATATTTATTAAGGCGACAAACTTAAGGAGGAAATATTGTCATAATGAATATAATCAGTTGCTATTACATTTATTCATTCATTCATTCATTCAATTATTTATTCATTTGTTCATTCATTCATTTATCCATTTATTCATGCATTCATTTATTCATTCATTCATTCGTTCATTTATTCATTTCTTCATGCATTCATTTATTCATTCATTCATTCATTCATTCATTCATTTATTTATTTATTTATTTATTTATTTATTTATTTATTTATTTATTTATTTATTTATTTATTTATTTATTCATTCATTCATTCATTTATTCATTCATTCATTTATTCATTCATTCATTCATCATTCATTCATTTCAATATTGTGACGTCAGGGATAGTGTTTTATATTTGCCTGAGGTAAAAAAAAGGATAAGAACATCAAAATACTTATAAATCTGATCGGGGGTGGGGGTTTACCCCCTCGTACAAATCAAAAAGCCTCTATGAACTCATGTACTTTCAAATACTTAGTTCAGAATGACTGTGTGCGGTGTGAAGACTTTTTCCATTTGAAAATTGTCTGTGCTAAATTAAGTTATTTTTTTATAAAAAGCATAATTTTCTAAAGTGGCATAAATGATTGATACAATACACGCTTGCTTGCCAGAGAAAGATGGCACGTTCTTTTATCATAAATACCCTAGTTATATATTTTATTTCTATTTATTTACATGTACAAACGTTATATCAACTGTCATAATAACAGGATGTGTGTCATATAACTTCACATCAACATGAAATGTTATATTCTGCCTTTGAGAAACTCACCATAGTTGTATGACTTTTAATACATTCATTAACACATGTATGTAATATTTATTTAGGCAAAAATGTACCAACCTCCCGATCTCTCCCAGTTGCAAATTAAAAAAATTAAATTCAATGTGTTACCTTTTTTAACGTGTTACATTTATCAAATACAACGCAGTTTCTATGTAAATTAAAAATATGTGAACGAAACGCTTACACTTGTGACATGTTATATTCATGCTTAATATGTATCCAATTATAATACTAATATGTATCTTATATGTATGTAATTTCTATTAACGCGTTATATGTATCTTATATCTATTAACGCTATATTTGTATCTAATTCTTACTTCATAGTGATGGTGATATGAAATTATAAAAAAAAAAAAAAAAAAAAAATGAAAAAAAAAAAAAAAAAAAAAAAAAATATATATATATATATAATATATATTATATATAATATATATATATATATATATATATTAGAATCATCAATCTATCTATCTATATATATTAGAATCATCAATCATCGAAATATGCATCCGGTTTTGTGTTCAGTACTGTGAATACATATATTAAAATAATTTAATATCGAGCAAAATACTTTTCACAACATTAGTAAAGAGTGACTGCGATCATTGTATGATTACGTTTTGAGTCAATCCGTCAACACTGTGACGTGTAGCGACTTTCAGTTTGTCTGGTTGAGTTATGCTTACAACGTCATCGCGCACCTGCAAAAGAATCACAGTATGATTGAAGATACAAAAAAAATATTCTCAGATGACATTGTTTCATACCACTGTATACTGCATCACAGGAAATTTGGTTTAAATGTAAAAAATAAGGTGACAGTTGTCACCAACAGGCTCGATCAAACCGGGATTTTTTTATCGTCTCCATTTTGACACCTAAACAATATGTGGACCGAGACGAACTTCAATTCACTTTGTCTATATAATATACTCGTTTAGATAGCAGCGCAAGCCATTTATGAAAAAGAGATATAATAAAGAAAAAAAAATCATCTTTAAAATGACACGTGTTGATTTGTGAGATTTTATGTGACATAACGACTGCTTTTCTTCAAGTTTTGTATATCATCAAATATCATATTTCAGTAAAAAGCAATTTAGATTTTGAGATATAAAGAGCTACCCGGATACAAGTCCCGGATTCAAATTTTTTCGTTTATGACTTTTAATAAATTATTACCTTTAGAATTACGCATGTCCTTGCAAAGTTATATCATATTATCTTTTTTTAAAGAATCTTCCTCATAGAGTGTTCGTAAAATGTTAAATATTTTCATGTCCTGTAAAAGCAGATTATGACAATAAATATATATTCAATTATTTCAAGACAACATAAACATGTGTTTAATAATGTTTTCATACTCTATTAAGATCGAATTGGATATTGAACAGCTGAAGTAGCACTTAATTACAGTAATGGTTTGTAAAGTTACCAAATGTAAACAAAGTCGTATTTTCACAATAATGTTTATGCATTTTATTTAATTATGTCAATTGCCAACAAAGCAAAAGAAGCACTGAAGCAAATGAGTAGTTTAATTATTCTTTTTTTAAATTTATTTATTTTTTAAACTGTAGCAAGAAAACAAAAAAAAGAACGTTTTTGTTATGTATTTGAAATTCATTGATTTATTTAAATTCGTGGGCTTCAATTGCAATAATATATTATCTCAGGCGAGCAGCATTCAAGTAACTATTGTGTCCGGAAAATCACGGCTTATAATACTCGTAACTATGATTATCGCCCAATTAAATTCCAACAATTTCGTTTATTTTAGGTTTTTGAACATTTTTTTTTCCCAAGTTGTTGGCCCCTGAAAAAATAAATGCATACGTCAAACATGAAGGATTGGATAAATATCATCGAAACACAAGGATTTAATGTATGTGTTTTCTATCAATATCCACCATAAAACTATTTAAAATTTCTATGCAACAATAGCATTTAATAGCTATAATAGTCTGAAGGGTCCCTCGCGAAACAGTTGGAGCCCTCGCCCCATACCGGGCCAGGGCACCAACCATTCCTTGGGACGCTGCAGACGTTATAACACGAAAAAACGTATGTTAACACCATATATTATTATTTTTTATTATTATTATTATTATTATTATTATTATCATCATTATTACAATGTATTATCATTACTCATTATTATCATCATAATCCCATCATCAAACAACATCATACTCATCACCATTATTATTATCAATGCCATCCTTATTATTATTATTATCATCATCATCATCATTTATTATTATTATTATTATTATTATTATTATTATTATTATTATTATTACCCTGTTTTTAATTGATTTGTGTTGGGGAAGGATTTCATTGAATGTCTTTGATGATATTTTATCATAAAAAATTATTCTAGAAGTATTTTTTTAATTTTGTGTTTGCAAGATTTTTATTGCAGACCCATTGTTCTGAACACCTTTCTCGATTTTGTTTGTATGTGTGTTACTTGGCTTCTGTTGTTACTAATCGACTCATAATGGTTCGTAAGACTGCAAACCCCACTCGACCCAGTAAGCAAGGGCCAGCGGCCAGGAGTCCAGAAAGAACACAAACAACAGCAGGAAAGGACACAAGGATGACTATGGGCAGGATAATCACTTCAATAATACATAAAAGTAAATAATTGTAACTGACAAAGAAATCAAATACAATTGACTGATTAATAGGTCCACAAAGTAAAGGGGTACAGGGGACTTAAAGTACGGGGAGGGGAGGGAAAATTAAACAAACAAAAAACAAAAAAAACTAAGAGCAAACGGGAAGGTAATGTAAACGAGAGGGACGCAAACGTGTCACAACAATAGTGTGAAACAATCAAGACATCCATGAGGGAACCCAGAGGGGGGCGCTTACCCTAATATGGTAACAATTACCGCCGATTAGTAGGCCCAATCAAACCGAACCTGCAACATTTTAGATTATGCCGCTTTGGATGATCTTTACATATTATGTTTTTTTTTCTACGTTATAAACACGTAATTTTGTTTCTTCTCCAAATTTAACTTAAATCAAGCTTTAATGTATCCGTTGAACGAGGGGATATCGTGGTACCATGGTGCCTGCTCGGCAAACTGATATAAAATCAAATTTTGTTTTAAAGTGTTTAGTTGTGAACATTTGTTTGTCAACATCTCCATTATGGGATTACTTACAGTGTTGTTTATTGTTCTGGTAAATTATATGTCTTTAAATTTTAAACTTAAGTTCATGATTAAATCATAAACGTTGGATAAGTCTGCTTTTCCTATTTGTTTGGTGTAATTTGAGGATAGACATGCAGTCATAAAAACGATTTAATCAATGGCTAAGCTGATGTTTCTAAATTCAAAATGACACCATTTTCATGCTGGATGTTTAAATCTGCCTGAGCCGGTGCTAGAGGGCGTAGACGGTACCTTGCACTCTCCAGTTCCGTCTATGAACAGGCTCAATCAAACCCAGTCTGCAACATTTCTTCATTTTGTCGTTATGGGCGATCTTTTGGGATCCTGTTTTTCTCTATTTTATGAAAGGTTCTTAATCTAACAAAAGAAATAAATGACAATAACAAATTATGTTCAAATGATGATAATAATACTAATTAAAATATTTAAATAGTAATATAACATTTGTATAAATATAATTTAAAGTTGACTGATAAATTGAAAAACTTTATGATAATGTCGTCATTCTATGGTGCTAATTTCAATTAATTATTTATTAAGTTACTTTATTTATTTATTTATTTTATTTTTACAATGTAGACTTATGGAACGTTTATATTTCCAGTGGGTAAATACGTTGTCTGCGTTTTGGTGGAAACCAAGTGACGATAGCAACGGTATACCATGTCCGGGCGTTACCGATCAGGTAACCTGATATTTCGTTGGGTTTTCTTTCTGTTGTTTCTGTCTTTATTGTGGTTATCTTTAGACGACACTGTTATATAAAAAATGCAATTCCATAACCTTCGCAATACTTTCAAAATTATTTTTTATTCAGTTTCGCTCGTTGTTGTCTCGTTAAGTGCATTCGCATACTTTCACATTGGGGTCAAATGATATTTTCCGTGTATTGACACTTTGCCACATCAAAGGATTCGTGACTGAACAGTATTAACCCTTTTAAAACTAAATGTCTTAAATGGACTTGTTCATATTTCTATGAAAAAAAACTGTAATCATTTTGGGGTAGAATTTGAAAATACATACCCACATAATAGCGAAAAGCTCAGACCATGATCTTGGCAATAGTATACTTAGATGCCACCAACAGACTTAGGGTTATTAAAGTAAGTATCTAATACAAGGAATGCTGTTGGTGTATGTTTATATATATATATATATATATATATATATATATATATTATATATATATATATATATATATATATATAATATATATATATATATATATATATATATATATATTATATATATATATATATATAAGCATTTGTATCATAGTTTGGAGACCTTTCTCAGAGCAAATTCGTATATCCATACATGCACAAACAATGCAAAATAATTCAGCATTTAAACATACAAATGGTGATTTTGGAATTTAGAAAAAAACCCAAATGCGTTCATACAGCAGTTGTTACGGAACATTCAATGAGACACGTTTGTGCTTCTGCATGTTCACAATTAAATAATCAAATTCCAAAAAATGTATATGCCATTAACGAGATAACTATGAGCGAATTATGGAATTTGGAAAGATATCAAAGATAATGAAACCCATCCATAGGCAATGTGTAACCTACATTCCAGTTACAAGTTATTTGACGACAGGAAAAGGAGTAGATTAAATGTTAGATTACAGACTTGGTTAAACCACAAGCATAACATTCAAGTTGTGAACAAAAAAAAAACGGAAATCCAGAAAGAGTTTGTGGCATGAAAAGTCTATATAATATATAGACTAGAGGTCGTCTGTATATGAAATATAGGTCAGTTTAGATAACGATAACTGTCAAATATAAGAAAAACAAGATCAACAAGGGAGAAGGTGGTTTAACCGCCAAAAGACCCGACAATACAGGACCTTTGGCAAGGAGCCTAGCAAGACACCAAACTAGACTGTAAGTACAGGGTACATTAATAAACTCTTACAGAGTACTTTCATTTTTGTTATAACTGCTCTCTTTTTTGTTTGTTTTCAGAACTGTTTGCCTGGTTTCCGGTGTCAGAAGCACAAGGGTAAAATCGTCTGCATAGAAAGCCTCGGTGAGTAATACATATAGCTATGGTAAGTTCTTATGTACTGATCGTCAACGGAGGTTAATGATTGGTATGTTGTGTAGTTATTTTGTTTGAATGTTGTTGTGTTGATATTTTTATGAATTCTGAAAGTAAATGTGTTTTCTGATGGGTCTTTACAAGAGATCATTTAAAGGGTATTTGTTGTATCTTGGGGACCTCTTACAGTCGAACTTATTCGTGGTATGTGACATTTATCCGGCGTTGTCTATCTACCTTGTTTGGTTATCACGCCATTTGCATTATGCCGAAAGTGAGACTTTTATCAGTATTATGGCCCCATAGTTCTTCGTTTTTCTGCAAGCATTCTTAAAAGTCAAGGTCTTTAAAAGTAAACATACAGCAACCGCAATATTTTTAATACCAGCAATAAAAATGAACTAAAGCCTAGCGACACGGCTTATAATGTTATTTAACCGTATAACCATCTATTTCGAGCCATATATACTGCCAAACCGTTGGGGAGGGGACTACATAATGCAGTTAATATCATATGGCGCCGAAACAGGAATGATGATTTTTTGGCTTACATTGGTCGTTACTTTTTTCAAAGCAAAATTAGAGGTCAAAGCCACCCACGTGTTTGAGCTTCGAAAGTCGTATGTACTGAATATATTCCCTTTAAGTCGCGTCTTATGATTACGCAGTGATGAACGGTGGCTGCAATTCTGATGCCTCAGCTATTGCAGGCAATTATTCAGCAAGACATCTTGAATAATAATCAAATAAGTGGATGTAAATCATAAAACATAATAACTGTAAAGGTTTACGTTTTTGTTCATAGTTTGACCAGGTTTACCACATACAGATCTCTAAAGGTTGGCAACTGCAACAGCTTGGCAATGAAAGCAATTTTAAATAATTTCGCTGATAATAAACATATAAAATATTTGTTTTCTTTCAGATAAAATAGCCTTCGAAGCTTACACGACTAACAGCAGAGGATATTATTTTGATGGAAAGGTGCTCGTATTCCCAAATGTACTCCTAAACGACGGTCAAGGTTATAATCCAAAAACTGGCTTATTTAAAGCGCCAGTTGCTGGGGTATATAAGTTCACAGTACACGTTTGCAGTGCCCCCAACAAACACATGGTGGTAGCAATTGTAAAGGGAGATGAGGAGCAAATTGCAGTCACTATGGTATTTGAAGAACCATCCTCGAGCTGCACTTCTCACAGTGTTATTACAAGGTTGGAAAAGAATGAAATTGTTATGGCGAAAGTCCGGTATGACGAGAGTTATCTTGAATCAGATGAGTACCGTTGGCCCTCTTTCAGTGGATTTCTGATGTACAGCTATTAAAATTAACTTTTCTACTACATTTACATCTCATAAACGTATCAAAAATTTCTTTAACACATTATACAAAAGCACTCTTTGTGTCTTTATCAATGCTGTCCGACATGACTCGCAATAATAGACAAACAGTACATTTTTTCCTATAACCAATCATAATTTTTGAAACGCTTAACGCTTAACACTGTCAGCAAGGAAGGTAGGCATTCAATGCACGCATCCCTCAAAATATGACCAACAGCAAGCAGCCCAGCACGACACCAAACACAACAGAGCGTATGGGCAAATCTCGGGCAGTATGTCACCGCAATAGAATCCAAAGCAAAAATCATAGAAACCTACAGGGTAAATAAAGAAGAACGTTAATTAAAATACCTATAGGGTGAGGCTGGAAGTGCCAAAAGAACGTGGAGGGTGTCAAAAGAAATAAATAGTATTTCTTTCGTCAGAAACTCGCAAAGGTTTTATAATTATGCAAACTACCAAGATTTAGATGCATATGATATGACGAAGATATAAGTGATTGTGAATCATTTTGTGTAAATGGTGGCACATTGTAAATCTCGTGGAATTGTAACGTCAATATAAAATACTAGATCAATTATATGAGTATATTATTGGAAGTTGTAACATAGAACCTACAATAAAATTGCTTGAAATGAAGGGGAAAAAGAAGTAACAATTTTGAAGCTTAGTGGGCTTTTACTCTTTATCGTTATTTTATAAGCAGACTACCATTACAAATATAATAAATCATATTCAAATCATATCTTGTTATGGATTTATATGTAAACCCTGCCCAAATTCATTTTGTTTGCGCATGAATTTAATATGAGAATCAAATTAATACAAGCGTTTTACCTTTTCCACTTGTCCGTATTGCTCCAGAAAAGATTTTTCGCAAATCTAAAATATGCAAACACAGAAACTCTGAAGACCGCCCAAAAGAACGAAATGGAAAATGCTGCAGGCTCATTTTAAACTTGTTAAAACTGAAAAATATGCAGTTTTAAACATATTTATTGGCTTATTGAGATATCGGGGGAATCACGTGATTTTGTATAATTATACAAACGAGTAATGGCAACTTCTGAGCCTCAGTAAGTTCTTTTTTTTTCTAAAACAATTTGGGTACAAAATTATACCGTCTCTTTCGGCTTACTAATGCTTCATTTCCAATTTTCACAGGATTCAAAAAGTGTTCTCGAAAACCATAAAACGTAGGACAATGCACCACTTGGTATTAATGTTTGAAGATAGTTACTGTGTAATGATAGGCCAGGTCCAGTTTGGATTGAGGAAACGTTTTGCACCTTAATCTTTAAAAAATAGTGACTTTACCGTTTAAATACCGTTTAAAGTTTAAATTTCGATGGTATACAACTTACAACCAGGCTCGCATATTATAGTTTTATTCAACTCGTTCGAAAATGTTAGCATTGAACCTACCCTAAATCATTATCCTCTATATAATGCCTAACTTAGCTTCAATGAAAATGTATTACCATAATATTGTACTAAAATAACCAATTTTGATATGTGATCCAATGTTCCTTTTTTTCACCGGAGCTCAACTGACGTGCATAACCCAGAATCCAGATCATTAATACTTACATCATATTGAACACGTTAACCAGACATTCAACATAAGATAAGCATATAATAAATTCAGGGTAAAATAAAAAAAAAATAAAAAAAAATAAACATGATTTGAAATATTTTGATCGACCGTTCAAGAGCTAAATCAAATGATACTGAAACAATCAGCATGTATATTGTGGTGATGATGATGGTGTCTATAATGATGATGAATATGAGGATGAGACAGTTGAGGATGATGTCGATGATGATGTCGAAGATAATGATGATGATGTCGATAATGATGATGCCGAGGATGATGATGTTGATGATGTTGAGGATAGGATAATGGTGTCGAGGATGATGATGATGGTGATTATGTCGATGATGAGGATGATGATGGTGTCGTCGATGCTGATGATAAAAATGTCGATGCTGATGATGATGTAGATGATGATGATGTAGATGATGATGATGTCGATAATGATGATGTCGATGATGATGATGTTGATGATGTCGAGGATGTATGATGTTGTCGAGGATGATGATGATGGTGATGATGTCGATGATGAGGATGATGATGATAATGAATATGTCGATGATGATGATGATAAAGATGTCGATGCTGCTGCTGCTGATTATGATGTTGTAGATGATGATGTCGATGATGATGACGTTGATGATGTCGAGGATAGGATGATGGTGTCGAAGATGATGATGATGATGCTAATGTCGATGATGAGAATGATAAAGATGTCGTATATAATGATGATGATGTCGAGGATGATGATGATGATGTCGATGATGTTGATTATGTCGATGATGATGATGATGATGATGTCGAGGATGTTTCATAAGATGATGCCGATGATGATGGTGATGATAATGATGATGTAGATGTAGATGATGATGGTGATGATGTGGATGATGATGATTTCGAGGATGATGATGACGAGGTCGATGTAAATGATCATGATGATGATGATAATTATTATGATTATTATGATGAAGATGATGATGATGATTACAACACAGATGATTTAATGATGGAAAATAATACATGTTTATTATTCATGTTTATATCACATATTCTTGATTTGTTAAAAAGTTAGTTTAGGTTACAACTTTGCCGTGTTGGGCTTATTTAGAGATTGTGTTTGTCTCTATTTAGATGTCATACATGTTTATTTAGAAATATTCATATCAACTTAATTCAATATATAGTAGTGTTTTTTTACAAAAGTTCACATATTAAATGTAGTTGCAACAGGTTTCAGCATTTAATTTTATTTCAAAATGATACTAATACAAATGTTGTTAATGTATGAATACAATGATGATTTTGATAAGAGATGAAGCATATCAACATGGTGATATATCATAAAAACTTCAAATGTTTAAACGTAAATGATGACAAGAATAAATGCAGATCCGGCATGAAATGCATAAAGTCAGTTTTTTGTTTGTTTACTAAGGGTATAATATCCGTGGGCGAGTCATTAATACCCTTATTTTTCGAGCCCCTGCCTCTCACTGCTGTTGATTACCGCCATACAAGCGTCTTTAATTAATAGATGTGAGAAAGCTACATCGGTGGTTCTACTTGAATGTCCGGTTGTGCCTGAAATAATATACAAGGAGAATGCGCATGCATCCTTAACAAAGCAACGACATGTATGTAAATATAATCATACCAATGTGACTTTAAAATGTTTTTAGAAATGTATCAAAACTACCCGGATTTCATTTTTTGTTCAAATTTTACATTGAGTATATCAAATATTGATGTAGTTATTTTGTCCTGTTTTCCACTTATGAACATACAGGGCCATTGAAATCAACGTACTGAAGCAAGTTTAACAGTATTGTGCAATAACATATAATATACGACTTTGAAAGAGGCAAGCTTATAAATTGCGCAAACATGGTTACGGTTTTGTAACAATGGAGCCCTAGGTTATTAAACAGAAGATTAAGGGACACACAGTAAGTTATTCATCAATTATTTTCCAAGGGTATCATGCTCGCTTTAGATGAGGAAGGTCTGAGGTCCAAACCCGGGTCCTGGCAACTATTGTGTTAGTATCCTTTTTAGTTATGTTAACATATTTTTCTAAAAAAATAGCCAAGATATGCAGAGGTATGGTTATGATTAAAACGTACAGAAAAAAAATATATGTAGTGATATTTTGGTGCAAGATCGAAACCAATAATAAGAATGAACATAAGAAACTCAAAAGTAAATGCGTTGTTTTTTTTGTTTTTTTTTGCTCCCGGGCTTATAGTTATTTAACTATCCGTCCGTCTGTTCAGATGTCCAAATGAGGTTAACCTTAAACAGTAAATTGAATTTTTCTTAAGTTCTACCAGTACAAATGGATTCACAATTTACCAGCTTACTAATCAATAAAAAATACACAATATGGGCAAGTTCCATAACTATGGGCTCCCATGTTTATAAAGTTATAACCCTTTTTAGCACTATGAAAATGAATATTGTTAACTTAAACAGGCAAGTTGGATATATCTTAAGTGCTATTTAAACTAATGGCTTCATAAGTTACACACTTACATATAAATACAAAGTACATGCTATTTCGAAGTTGTATAAATCAGCCATCAATTTACCCCAGTTATTTCCCTTTATTCACTTTGGAAATCGGGCCTTGTATTGTTTACCTATTCCGGCAAGTTGGATTTATCTTAAATGTCTCCTCATTACTTAATTTACTTAATGATATCTTTTATATACAGTATTTAGATACCAAAAATGATCCTATAATTTTTTAGAGTTAAAGGTCTCTAGGATTAGGTCAAGGACACTGGTGTAAAAAAACACATTTATGTTCATACAGTTTTATTTATAATCCAATGTGTTTCATGTATAATACAAACATTCCAAGGAAGGTCCTCTTTCTTTGGGTTTAGTTAGGGGTCATTTGACGTCACACTTTCTTGGGGTTATTTAGTAGTCATTTGAGTCAATTTCAAGGTCACCAATGTGAAACAAGAGACTTGTTTACACTTTTATAGATGTAATAGCCTTATTCTATTGACAGATGTCTTTTATATATGGTAGGAACACAAAATTGAGTTTTTTCCCCCTTCAAATGGAGGGGTCAGTTGGGTCAAAGACACCAGCGCTAATAATATATGTTAACACTTTTGCTCATACTGCCTTTATTTGTTGACAGATGTATTTCATATTTGGTCGGAAGGTAACTTGCATTGTATTCTTTCTTCGGATTGGGTTAGGAATTAGTGGGTCAAGATCACATTTTTATACTTTAGCACATACATCAGTTATCAATTGCCAGATGCCTTTTATTTCTGGTAGGAAGATATCTTGCATGATATTCTTCCTTTTGATTGAGGTAGGGGTCAAGGTTAATGGTACCAATAATAGATTTCTACACATTTGCTCAAGCAGCTCAAGCAGCCTTTATGTTTTGACTGATGCTTTTTAAATTTAAAAGGATGATAACTTGCACCATTTTGATTAAAGAATATGGAAACAAAGTGATCCCTCGAAAGCATTAAAAACTAAAAAATTAAGTCAACGTCCCTCACGCTCCCTAAGTTTAAGCTCAGTCGTATCAAGGTCAACAGTGGTAAACATTGATTTTACCTTATGCCCGTACACACTTTATTTATGGACAAATGTCTTTCATATTTGGTCTTTGTAGATGTTTTTCATGGTACCATCCTTTCGTTTGAGGTAGAAATCAGTGTGTCAGTTCAAGCATGCCAAAAATAGATTTTCATACATTGGCTTTAACGGCCTTTATATATAGACTGACGTCTTTGATATTTGGAATATTCATTTTATCGTCAAGTGCTGGGTGTCACAAGGCAAATGTCACTTGTGCGAACAATAGAGTTTTTACTCTTTTTTACAGCCTTGTTTTTTTTTTACTAACGTCTCATATTTACAAAGATAATACTTAATGTGGTCCTTTTAGTTTTGATGGAGTGTGGGGAACTAGGTTCAAGATAAAGTCTTTTATATGTACTTTTCAACTTCATCACAAGCCAAAGCATTGACTTGCAAACTTATTACTGTGTTTACAATTTTTTGGCATTGTTTTTTTGTCCATAGCTAAGTGAATGAGTAACATTTTTTGAGATATATTAACTGACAAGAATGTGATTCGTAACAAATATGTGGGTTTTTTGTTTCAGATCTTGTTAAATTGTGATGGCTTTCGTAAACTTGTTTCACCGGTTTTTCTTGATGAGGATGCGTCATTCTTGATCGATCCCATGAAAAAAGGTATATTTTACGTGCATGCATTTATTGAAAATAAAAGAAAATGTTAAAAGTAATAACCATTCGCACGTGAAATGCTCAAGTGTTGTGTAAAATGTTGCTCATAAATGTAGCTTTGATTAACATGTGTCTTGATGCGTTAAAGTGATTCTGTAAGAGTTATATAAGTAACCACTCCTGCTGCCAGCAATCACTTGTTAATCATGGACAACTTCAGAATGCTGGTGCTTGTTGCGTTGACTCTTGTCTTGGTAAGTAATATGTTTTTGTAGTTTTTATCTTTATTGTGGTATATATTATCAGAGTTTTAGTTTAGTTTTATCTTAATTTTTATATAATTATATTATTGAATTGTTATCTGAATTTTGTATTATATTATCGTATTACTATCTAAACTGTGTGATGTGTTATCGTAACGGTAGTTTTATCTAATTTTGTTAAAATAATCGAAGAGTTAACTTGGTTTCTTAAAATTATCGTAGTTATATCTTAAGTGTGTTTAAAATACCGTACTGTTATCTTTATTTTGTTAAAGTAATCGAAGTTATACCTTAATTTTGTTATATTACCTTAGTGTTATATTAGTTTTGTTAAACGTATTGTACTGTTATCTTAAATTTGTTATATTATTTGCTATTTTATTTTATTGTTATCTGAATTTTGATATATATTATCGTATTACTATGTAAATATTGTGATATAGTCTCGTAGTTTTATCTTAATTTTGTTGAAATTAACGTAAATTTATCTTGGTTTTGTTAAAATTATCGTAGTTATAACTAATTGTGTTGCAATAATCGTAGTTATATATTAATTTTGTTAAAATTATCGTTGTAATATCTCAATTCTGTTAAAAATATCGTAGTTTTATCTTGGTTTTGTTAAAATTATCGTAGTTATAACTAATTATGTTGCAATAATCGTAGTTATATAATAATTTTGTTAAAATTATCGTAGTGTTATCTTAATTTTGGAAAAAATTACAGTAGTTTTATCTTTGTGGTTTTGTTAAAATTTCGTTGTTTATCTTGGTTTTGTTAAAATGATCTTAGTTTTATCTTGGTTTTGCTAAAATTATCGCAGTTTTATCTTGATTTTACTAACGATTATCTTAGTTTTGCTTTCAAATTGATTTTGTTAAAATAATCGTAGTTTTATCTTAATTATGTTAAAATTATCGTAGTTTTATCTTAATTGTGTGAAAATTATCGTAATATTATATTAATTTTGTTGAAATGATCGTAGTTTTATCTTAATTTTGCAAAAAGATATCGCAGTTTTATCTTAATTTTGTTAACATTCAGTAGATTTTATCTTAGTTATTTTATACATCATCGGTTTTTTTTTTGTTTTTTTTTTAATAATCGTAGGTTTATCTTAGTTTTCTTAAAATAGTCATATTATATCTTAATTTGGCTAAACAAAAGACGTAGTGTTATCTTAAGTTTGTTAAAATTATCGTAGTTATATCTTAATTTTGCTAATTTTGAAAAATGTGTTATCTTAATTTTGTTAAAAAATTATCGTAGTATTTTCTTAATTTTGCTAAAAATATCGTAGTGTTATCTACGTTTGTTAGAAAAATCGTAGTGATATCTTAATTTTGCTAATGTAAAAAAATGTGTTACCTTAATTTTGTTATCGTAGTGTTTTTTTTAAATTTTGCTAAAAATGTCGTAGTGTTATTTTAATTTTGTTAAAATAATCGTTGTTTTATCTTAATTTTTATAAAATTATCGTAGTTATATCTTAATTTTGCTAAAATATATCGTAGTGTTATCTTTATTTTATTAAAATTATTGTAGTGTTATCTTATTTTTGTTAAAATATATTGTAGTCTTGTCTAAAGTTTGTTAAAATAATCGTAGTTTTATTTTAATTTGGTATAAATTATTGCAGTTTTATCGTAATTTTGTTAAAACTATCGTAGTTTTATCTTAATTTTGTTAGAATGATCGTAGTTTTAACTTAATTTTGCTAAAAATATCGAAGTGTTATCTTAATTTTGTTAAAATAATCCTAGTTTAATTCTAATTTTGCTAAAATGTATCATAGTGTTATGTTAATTTTGTTAAAAATATCGATGTTTTATCTTAATGTGATTAACAATTATCTTAGTTTTAAATTCAAAGTGCTTTTGCTAAAATTATCGTAGTTTTATCTTATATTTTGTTAAAGAATATCGTTTATTTTATGCTTTTCAGTGGATTACTGATTTATCCGTGAAAATTATATTTGGTAATTTCACAGTGAAAATTATCAAAATATAATTTCACTCTTTTCAATGACGAAACTACTTTTTAAGATTTTCCCCATGTGGTACCTCAATTTTATTTTTGCTGACAATTCTGACAATGTCAGGCTGTTTAAAAAAAGCAAAGCTGAAATTGATAAATAACTTAAATGTCAAAAGTAATAAAAAGAAGAAAACTTACTTCTATTCATTCAAATTCCAATCACCAAATTTCGTCTCTAAATTTTTTTGTTTCATTTTTACAGTCTGAAAAATACATTCCTTCCCCATGCAAAACTGCTCTTGATGACATTTGGGCATATTAAAGTATCCTACGAGCAATAACTGCCGTATGCTTTATGAAAAATTGAAAAGCATTGACAGCCATCACTCGTCGAATAAGTAAAACAACCCAGCTAGCGTTCTTGAGCAAGCTTCCAAGTTTTCCATTTTCCTAGCTCCTTTTCTGAATGTTTTCACATCTGTCAACACTTATTTTTTGTCTGTTACAATCCTCAAATAAGTTTTCTTTCTTTTAAAAATGTGTATGACTAACAAATCCAAATTGTATCCCTCTGAATCTTACACAATTATTTTCCTCCCATGAAATACACAACTTTAAAAAATGGCTGCCGCTTACAATTTACAGAGCCAGGTCTAATATAAATTCGCAGTAAGTAACAGAAATATGGATGGATGGTTGGACTTTTTCTCCTGCTAGAATTGTTTGTTTTTTATTATTAAAACAAGCAATCATTCATATTCTTTGAATAAAATGAATAAATATCACCGTCATTTAATGTTGATTGGCGGACTTTTTTTTCAGCTCAAGACTTCTTGTTTTTAATGAGAAATTCCGAATAAATGGGGCTCTCAATGGGGGAAACCGTTTTAATATTAACGTTAAAATTATGGAAATTTCGTTTTAACTTGTTTTTAAGCATAAAATAAAAAGAAAATTTGTCTGTTTGTTGTGTAAGATGTAATTTTATTTCATCTCGTGAACTTTAAAAACAGTATTCTCACTCGTGGCTACGCCACTCGTGAGAATACTGTTTTTAAAGCCCACTCGATGAAATAAAATTTCATCTTACACACAAACAAACAAATATCCTCTATATATTTATCTTATTTTATTGAATGATATGTGAACGTTGTTTTATCTTTATCTTATTAATATAATTGTTGTGGTATCTTAATTTTGTTAAATATACGAGTATATCTTCGTAGCTTTATCCCAATTTGAAACGTTTACTAAAATTTAAATTAATATAATCGAAATGTGAATACGAAAATGTTCATGTCACATTTATACCTGATATATTAATATAATTTAAGTTAAACGTGTGTTAAAAATGCTTTTATAAGTTTAATAATGGATTAAGAACATGTTAGATGTTTAACAACTTGATAAGTAGCGTGAACGTGCAGAAATATGATGTAAACGAAGCAAAATGTAAATAGAGTACATGTAGTATTTTGTCTTCCATTCACTTTGAAACTTGTTTCAAATGCAAACATAACAAAATCGGCAGAAGTTTGTTTGAGCAAATGAGTTTTTTTTTGTTTTTTTGTTTTTTCAAAACTGTTACTGTAACAGTAACAAAATATCAAAACAATAGTTTTCTAAAATATAAAACTTATAGCATTTCTGGGGCACATTAGGCCTTTAAAAGAAAGTCGTTTAGATAATGATAGTATTGAAAATGATTATTTTTTTTAAATCTGTAACAAAAAACAACAACAACAAACATGTTTTTGCTTTGTGGGTTTTTTTTAGAAATAAAAACGATATCAATTCTGAGGCATAGTGGCCTTTAAAGGCGAGTCGTTAGAGAATGATTATAATGAAAATAATTTTTTTGAAAACTGTAACAAAATATCAAAGAATATAAAAGTTTTGGAGAAATAAAAACGATATTTCTGAGGCATAATGGACCAGAGTCGACATTTAAACAAATAGTTAGAATAAATTTGATGTTTTAAAAACTGTTAAAAAATAACAAAAATATATTTTTTAAGAAATAAAAATGATTCATAAAAGATGTTTAAAAAAAGAGTGGTTATATGATAATATTCATAAGGGTGATGATGATGATGATTTTGTTGATGCTGATGCTGCTACTGCTGTTGCTGCTGCTGCTGCTGCCGATGATGATGATAATTATAAGGACGATGATGATGATGATGATTACTATTATTATTATTATTTTTATTATTATTATCATTATGATAATGATGATGATGATGATGATGATGGTAACGATACTTATGATAATGATGATGATGATGATGCTTATGATGATGATGATGGTAATGATGATGATGATGATGATGATGATCTGCTGCTGCTGCTGATGATGATGATGATAGTGATGTCAAGTGAATATCTGAAAACGATTACTTTTATCTAATCATCACCACACAAAAATCTAATTCAAAACCACCTATATTTGCAAAAATCTTAACAAGGCAAAAATAAATTGACACACACCAACAAGCCAGTGCATTCACTTATCTGATGTAATTTTCCAAAAATAACTCTCATGATCTAAATATATTCTTTATCCTAACGATTTGTCGGTATTTAGATGATAGATTATTTAATATCAAATTCTAAACTTTGATTTGCAAATAATAATGGTGATGATGATGATGAGATGGTGAGAGTGATGGCAATAATAATCATTACAATGATGAAAATGATAATGATGATAGTAATAATGATAACAATAATAATAATAATAAAAATGATGATGATCATCATTATGATAAGATTGATGATAATGATGAAAATTATGACAATTATGATATTGTGATAATGATGATGCTAAATATGATGATGAAAAAATTATATTGATGAATCTAAAGATGATTATAATGCTGATGATACTGATAGTTCTTATAAGCGTGATGGAGATAATTTTGATAAAGAAAGAGATAATAATAATAATGAAAATCATGACGATGATAATGATGATGATGATAATAATGATGTTGGTGATAATGATACTAACGTTTATGTTGATTATAATGATAATTTACAATGATAAAATGCTCAAGATAGGATAATGACTTCAATGATAAAAATGATAATAATGATAATGATGATAATAATGTTGATAATTATGTTATTGATAATTATGAAAATAATGATGACGATGCTGTTGACAAGAGGTAGGAACTCAACAGATTGTCTATAAATTCTAATGAAAAATTGTTTTCTTTTCTTTCTTCAGTACCTAAATACATCTTTTGCTGAATTTATTTTTGCAAGAGCCGTTGATCACAGTAAAGGCATACCTTGCCCAGGAAAAACGTATAAGGTAGAAAATTGTTCTATCTACTTTTGTATATTATACTTTCACGCACAATCTATACACTTGACCAAATTAAAATTATTTCAATCTATTTGTTAATAAATATCCATTTACATAATTTAAAAATTCATGTATGTACATATGAAAAATCTATTTCACTACGTTTGTTGTTGATTCCAATTTATATACAACCAAAATCACAACACGATGACCCTTCTAACATGACAGAGGCAGATTAATTGGATGCCGGTCTGTTCATTTGGATTGCACAGCTCAATATGTTTTGCTATATTTTAGGAAATATATATCAATTTTGCGTGCCTTGTTGAAGAATAATTCACGATTTGAGTTCAAATTCGTAGTAATGTCATCACGAAGGCCTAAGTTATTAATTACAAAATTATTTGAACGAAAAAAAACGTGCATTATAATACAATAGCATTCATTGGACGTCCCCTTGCCCCCACTCACGTGATTATTGCTTGGAGCGAAACCAAATGTCAAAATTCTTAACATTTACTTTCATGAAGTGTACCAGTATTTCAAAAGCCCGTTAATTGTATCATATTGATTCAGTGACGTTATTACCTTTCCTTAACGCATAGACACATAAAATTATTAAACAAAGACGAACAGAAACCAAAACGTAACACGAGAAAGAAAAAAAACAACATTTTGTTTGTTTTACAGACGTGTCTGCCGGGTTTCCGGTGTGAAGAGGGGAGCAGTAAAACTGGCTGCGTAAAAAGTCTTAGTAAGTTAATACTGTTAGCAGCTCATCATGCACCGTCGTTAGTTTGTCTTTCTTTTTTTTGGTTAAGGTAGACGTACTTTAATACTTTTCAACCAAAAGACTTAACATCGGCCAATATCGTGATAACTTGGTCCTTTTCGGAACGTTATTTTTCACAATATTCGGTATTCAATCATTTTAACCGTTTATAACCGGAATTAAGTATATAGCGATACTGGGTTAGTGGTTGTTATTAATCAAATACCAACGATTTTGAAAAAAAAGAAATTTGGAAATAACCGATTTGCTACGATGTTGGCCGATATAAGATTTGTTTTTGGCTGGAAAGAATTACAGTTAGAATGCCTTAAAGGCACACTGCCTCAGAATAAATTATTTTTACCTCCTTTAGAAAGTGCAAAACATAAGTTTTATAATATTTCAAAAATGGTTTAAAGTAAGTAAGATGTTTATAAGATGAAAAATTAGGGCAGAATTTGAAACTATTTGTAATAAAATCAGTAAAATATTAACATATGCATGTATTTTGACTACATACAAAATACTAAATCACTATATTTGCACTTAATACCAAAAAGCAACAGACACGAAAGCTGGTTCAGGTAAATAGCCAATAAATATATTTTTGAAAATTATAAAAGGGCATCAAAAAAAAAAAATAGAAAACAATAAAAATAAAGCATTTCTGGGTCACTATGGGCCTTTAAAGTATCGGCCGGTAATGAGGCTAATGATAGTTACGTTTGCTAGGCGGGATTCAAACCCACGACAGTAAGTAGCTTGAAACCAACGACCTTCACCTCTCGGTCACGGATGCCCCGGATTAAGTTTAAATTGAGCATATAAAAGAGCATAATTATCGAAACAGATAAGTGACTAAACGAAAACTAGAAATAAGAAAGAAAAAAATGAAGCCCACTGCGAATCAATTTAATTTTGTATTGATATATATTTCAGAAAAAATATCCTTTGAAGCGCACACAACCGACGCTCAAGGACATTTCCCAGTTGGAAAGGTTCTTATTTTCCCAATAGTCTCCGTAAACGATGGCCAAGGGTATAATTCCAAAACTGGCATTTTCACAGCACCGGTTGCGGGAATGTATCAGTTCACAATGCACTTCTGCAGTGCACCAAGTCAGAGTATGGTTGTAGCTCTAATAAGGGGAAAGGAGGAAATCGCCGTTACAACCGTATCTACGTATCCCTACTCAGGCTGCTTGTCTCACAGCACCATTGCAAGAGTTGAAAAAAACCAATCTGTTCACTTGGTATCACGTTGGAGCGCAAGCCGTCTTTTTTCAGACGAATATCGTTGGCCTTCTTTCAGTGGTATTCTTATGTATAAATATTGAAGTCTATAAAAATGATAAGATAATGTATATAACTCTAGCTTCTGCAATCAATTCCTTTTTTAAAGATTAACTCCCGGCCGGTATCACTCTTATAGCTTTTTAAAACATTTTGAAGAACCATTTGGAGACGAATTTAACTACTATTTGCCTGAAATGCACCTTATTTGAAATGCAAACTATCATCTTAAAACGTGCATGTCTTTTACGTAATGAGTATATTTTTGGAACATTGATTAATAAAATAACCATCGGGTAATTTGTATCAAACATTGATATTTTGGGCATTCTGCTTTCCAAGTGATCAAGCTATAAGCTATATTCAATTCTTTGGTATTACCCTTCAATTGATTTCTTCCTTACAAGTGTAAACGTGACTTCGATGTTTGAAGATATACGTATTCAATTTGGCATATATGTATATTGAAAGCTGACCTTATACTAGTTTTAAACTAAGGGAGATCACCATGTATCTATATTCCAATCAACAATAATTGAAATATTTTCCTTTACAAGACTTGATATAAAAACTCAAGCAACAGTCTATAAATAAGTCATTAACAAATTTCCTTAACAAAAGTTCACAAACTGTATAGTGTAATATATGATTTAGATGCTGTAGGAATAGACTAGAATACAATAGAATAACTTTCTAAAGATGTTAACGACAATAAAACTTGGTTCATTTTATAGCAGGCGTCATGCTTTCATGTGTATACAGTCATATATTATAATCAGATAAACATATCCTTTACCTTATTAAACAGCATATCGCGTCTTTGTTATTTTTGACAACATTTGCCTTCAACAATTTAATTATACTATATGATATTTCCTTGGAAGATATAAGATATACAGGGTGTACTTTATTTACATTGCTCATTTTTCAATTGATAACCATAATATCAATATGCGACAATACCAGTTTTATTCGCGGGACACTGACTTTTCTGGTGTTTGTGGATAGCCTATCCACAAATTTAAGATTCGACGAAATGTATATTTGTCTGCTGTAAGATAATTCTGCATTAAATCATTTACATTAACCTTTCGAAAAAATAAACAGTCCATAAATTAAAGAACCCACGAAAATGTAACCACGAAATTCCATGCCCATGAAATTAAGTGACTTAAAGGTACATCGATCATAATTCATAATTAGTTAAGATTTGTTTTTGTCCAAAGTGTTAATGTGACATGTTGCTCATTGCGAGGTCGAAGGCGTAGAGAAGCAAGAAGTTTCATAAAAATTGATGAAGACCAATACCTTGCTTACAATTTGACACCTACGCACATCAGTAATGTTTTTTTGAAGTCTTGATAAAATCGCACTTTATTAATGGTTGACACATCTAACGCGCCAAAAATGTGTTTTGCCTTGCAATCACGTCGGATCAAGGCTTTTTCTGCACGACTGCTTATTAAACTGCAGTTAAATTTAGTGAAGGAATACGATGCACATGAAAGATCGCATTGCTCAAGTTTTGTATCGTGTGTATTAACGACGTTGCTGTGTCCTATCTACTTAGGATAGTTGTATTTGTGTAATTAAGTCTTTAGATTTATACATGTTTTAGCTGTATGCTATAAAAACTAATTTAGGTAACACCACCTTCAAACGACATGTCACGTGTTGTTCATAACAATACAAAGATGCTTATTTTTCGTACGATACATATTATGGGACATATTTTTCAAAATTTATTTGAGTTTGGCCTCCCTAATTAGAAAGGAAACTGTTATTCAAAGCATTGACTATTGTAATGGTAAGTTATAAAGATACAACAGAAAGACTAAATTATGAAAAGACTGTATACACTTTTTTATTACAAATTGAACAAAGCCAATACATTCTGAACGATGTAAGAAAGAGTAACATGGATAACTGCTTAGTAAAACATAAAATTGGGAACGATTTTGGCAACATATACAATTATCAGAATAATTTTCCAGTGCATTTGTTATCTGCTTTTAGATGGGCATAATGTCATTTTTTTTAATATTCACATTAATAATGCAAAAAAAATCAACAACAAAAAAAAACAAAACATTCAAACAGCAGATATATCCGTCTTGACTTTTTTACATTGCTATAAGGAAGAAAGAGAAAGTTTATTTACATATAATATGATTCGATACTTCTGTATTCCATAATTTTCTTTGTTGAATGTTCATATTCTATGTAGTTTAGCTTTAATATATTGCCTGTCTATTTCCATATACCTTTTTATGTAAACAAGCGCAAAAATATATGTTATTTCTTTCATAGGCTATAAAGAACTGTATTTATTCATATAAAGTTCCTCACTAAAGAGCATTTGGTCGACTCCCCAGGGTTGCGCTGGTTAAGGAAGACCGCAGATTCCCTTCTTTGTACTTTTTGGCCACTTGAGTAGAACAGCCGACGTTCCATTAGCTATCTGGATAGCCTGCTCATCAGAAGTCCCGGACATTGACCCAAAATGAAAACTTTACCCTTAATTCAAGTGAATAATACAAAAGGAGTAGAAATAAAATAAATGGTCCTTCTTTCTTGATTTCTCTATTTGTAAATTCTCGCACATGATACTGGCATGCATTTTCTGAAGCTCAGATAAATCATCTCTTGTTATGCTACAGGCATCAGTCTATGTCGCTGCTCCAGGCAGAAAATTAATAGCTAAATGAATATGTTTAAACAACAATGTCTTGTCGATGTCACCCAAGGCCGTCCGTGAACGTGCAGCAACGTTACTTACTGACCGAATTATCACGTCACCATACTTAAGTAATTGTTTTTACCAGCAATCTGTGTTGCAAGGCGTTATAATAATAATGCTCAGATGCTAAATACTCGTCTGAGATAGAGCCATTTTCTTATTTATGAACGACGTTCATATGAAAGCCAACTTTTTACAACTCTTCATCGAGCCGCCAGACTACATTGGACACGGTGTAATTTGCGTTTCACTCACAATCAGTGGCAATCTGTACGTAAGCAAAGAATCCAGCTTTAATGTATAACATGTAGACGAGAAAGTATTTCGCCATAGAATGGACTCTCAGAGTGTTGCAATGGGACACGTTTTTGTTGAGCCCATATAAGGGACCAAAAAACTGAATTTGTCATTATGAAGGGTATGTTGTATATTGTTAAAATTCTAGTTGATGGTATATAAGGTTTTTAAGGCAATAGAGGTTAATTAAGAAATATGCATAGCACCTGAATTCAATATTAACGATCCTGTAACATTGCATATACCTTTAATAGAAGAAAACAATTGTTTTATCTGTTAAAGATGGTCTTTAAATGAATAACAAATTTACATATCCATTCCGACGGTTAGAATGTAAATATTCGCATAGTAATCGTAGAAAAACCCCGATTTTATCACTATTTTGTTTTACGTTTTTATATGTAAATAAACAGAGCTCACGTGACACACGCTCACACAGTTTAATAACAAACATAACGGAAAGGAAGAAACCGCGTCTCCCCCGCGTTTGTCGCTAGTGTTATTTGTTATCAGAATGCAAGTCAGGTTAATCTTGAAAACGAAAACAGAAGTAATTTTATAAAAAAGACCACTATGTGTGATGAGCTACTTTTTGGCATTCATGTTTGTTTTCTTACTTAGAGGATGGGTCACGTGACCGATCATGTGTTATTGATGGCGTACCGTTATATTATATTTAGAAAAACCGAATGAGCGTCGAAGAGCTGCGTTCATTGAAAGCCGCCTCTCCTTGGTGATCTTGTTTATCATATTTCATCATTTTATTTTCTGTAATTACCAACTTTGATTGATTTTTTTGTTGGGGTAAATTATCGCATGTACCATGAAATCAAACCTTTTAGATATATTTTTACATAACATACGTGCTCTTTAAGAATTTTATACGCCTACATATAAATGCGTTTGCAACAGGTTTAAGCACTTAAATTAATTTGATTTCAATACCATATCAAATATCAATTTAGTAAATGTATGAAAACGAGACTGAATTTTGATAAAAGATGGATCATATAAACGAGCATGGTGTCAGTTTTTAATCAGGGTTGAGAAAACTTCATTTATTGAAAAGTAAATAATAAAAAAGGACAGATCCGGTTTGAAATGATTAAAGCTATTTTTGTTTGTTTACACCGGATATAATGTTCGTGGGCGAGTGGTTAAGGTCGCTGGTTTCCAAACACATTTTCAATTCTTATTTGTTCCGTTTTAAACGTACTTTATGGATTTTTTTATTTTTGCATCAAACCCAAACAAAAAAAAATGCTTGTAATGAATAAGAAATTGTTACAAATTTGAAATCATTTTATAACTTTATCAAAATTTTACAGATTTTGTTTTTAATTTTGCCTTGAATATATTAAATGTCAATGTTATTATGTTTTCTTATTTTTTACTTAATTACCTTCAACGGCACGGAAGTCAATGTATTAAAGCAATTTAAACAGCATTTTGCAATAACTTGCTGGCTACTATACATTATACGACATTGATTTATCTCCAAGTGGCATGCTCATAAACTGGGATAAAAATGGTTTTAATTCCTATTATATATTATCAAATGTATCATCAATCTGTGCTGTGCCTTGTGTCCTATCTTGTTTTTGTTTGGTGTCGTGCTAGGCTTCTTACTGTTGATCCTATGTTGCTTGGTCGTATATGGGTTACTTTCATTGAGCGCCGCCCTTCCTTGCGGATCTTGTTTTTTCATATTTTATGAAACAATGGCTGTGTAATTAAACAGCAAATTAAGGGACAGTCACTAACAGACCTATATCAGGCTCGTATTTTACAAGCATACTCTGCGTTGTTTGACCTATTTGTAAGAAAATATACACTATTTAGCAAAAGCAGGACATATGAATGGACATTCAACATTCGCATCAATTTTATAATCTTCTAATTATTCGTCTAAAAAAAAATACGATAACATCTTGTTATTAGTTAAGTATTTCATTACACTCATGCAAACAATTTACTTATACTCTAACGTTTTTTTTTATTTTAATAGTGGAGAAAAATCTTTGTGGTAAAAAATTCATTGTAAAAAGTTTAAAAGACTATAATGAGTTTTTTTATCTAATTATTTTTTTTTTTAATAAAAGTGAATATAAATATATTTTTAGAAAGTGTGTACAATTTGATGTAGGTCTCGACCTATAGCTTGTGTGCATAATCTCAAATCATCCATTGAATAAGTAATCTTAGTTTGCAAAGAGACAAAAATATGAAACATGTTGCAAACGCTTTTCATCCACACCATTTTAATGTGCAAAAAAAGCGATTAACAGTTTTATGAGTAAATTGCTTATGCATTTTAATTTCATCACTTCATCTTTGCAAGAATTTCAAATTTCATGTTCTTAGCCTTCTCTTTGATCTTTTGTATAACAAATCGTACCAACACAAATTTGTCATGAACAACCCATTATCTCAGTCATTTTTAAAATGCGTTTAATTCCTTAATTCTTGACACAATCGTTACACGCAATTGTTTTCGATGCTTCTTAAAAACTCGAAGCAAATGAACCCAATCGTTTGCAAAAAAATTGTTTCTGTTGTGGAATTGTAACTGTATTTTACATTATTATTGTTGTTGTTGCTGCTGCTGCTGCTGTTGTTGCTGTTGTTAGAAAAACAATTTATAAACAAGAACAAAATAAGACAACAGTAACGTTAAATGGTTGAATGGTTAATGTGAACTCATTTGTCATAAAAGTTAACGATGTTCCATATAGCAAAACTTAA